CAGATACAAAACATAACATAACATAACATAACATAACATAACATAACATAACATAACATAACCCTTGACCCATTAGGGTCGTGGAGGTGTATTGGTGGAAGCACTAGTACATAAAACCCACCATCTTTCTCTGTCTTCTGCTTGATGAATAAGTGTATGTTAACTTAATCCTTCCAGTTTCTTCTTTGCCCTTCTCATCTTCTTACACCCCTCCCCCCCCCCCCCCCCCCCCCCCCCCCCACCCAATGTTCATTGAAGTACAGTTTTTGCCATCGAATCATGTATCAACACGCGCCCAAACCATGCTTGCTTGCGACGTTTTACCACTGACAAGGGAGGCTCCTGATGTCCCGCAAATGTGTGTATTCTGTCTCTGACATATTTATTAGTTTTGTGTTCTAAGTAACTAATTTGTAAAATACGTCTGTAGCACTTACATTCGAAAGCCTGAATCCTCCTTTCCACTTCCCCAGTGAGAGTTCAACTCTCACACCCGTATAAGATAATAGACAACACCAGGTACACATCTGTTCAAAGATGGAGATGCAAATCTACAATATCTCAAACGTGCAGCCCACAAGAACATTGAGATGTACATCGTCATTATCAACATCTCCATTCTATTGCCTGCTGTCAGTCACATAGGGCTGGCTGTTTAGTCCTCTAGTGTGTTCTCTCCTGTGGAATCCTTTCTATGTCATTGATAAAGTCCAGTCTAGCACACTTGGTCTCTCTCAGCAACGCTCATCTCATGGTTGCCGTTGGATTGGACATCCTCGTTTTCTCACTCCACCTGTTTCTCATGTGGAGCTTAATTATAAATAAACTATTTTTCAAAGCGATTTCTCGAACAAAAAGCCAAGAACGTTATGATTTGTATCCTTGATCTCCTTTTTCATTACTTTTTAACTTTTTTTTTTTTTTTTTTTTTTTAAATTAAAGTTGGGGATTTCACTTGAAAATTGTTGAACACCACTGGATCTACATCCTAACTTCGTCTATTGCAGTGTAAGCAATAAACTCTGTAAACCAGAGTTCTTTAAACTCTTTACCCCTGCTCATTTGGAAGATTGAAGCAATTTTTTTTTCTCGTTGACGGCTCAATTGGAAACAAAAACAAATGTGAATATCGTTTTATGTGGTAAATCCAAAGTTATTATGTTTTTAAAACTATTTTTAGTTTTCACGATGACATCAACTACTGCTGTTGTGATTCTGGTTTTGGTGGCGTAAGCGTTGTTTCTGTTAGCTTTAGGTAATTGACAGGAAATACTTCGCGGAAATTTGCTTAAATCGTCACGGACCCGGAGATCACAGCTTGAAGAACACTGTAGTAGTGTGGAGGGAAACATTTCCCCATGTGTCAGGCCATCCGTTTCGGTCTTCGTGCTGTCCTGCAAGTAAGGAAGTCTTAGAGAGGCAGCATTCATCTGCAGGGACCCTCCCACCCCCTTGGCTGTAATGAAATTGAAGCGTGCCTACACGTAGATTAAACAAAAAAACTCCAAGGGAAGCTCAACGCTGGTGTCTGCATCAGCATGGGTCCAATCGTCAATAGTGCTTGCGTGTCGTGTATCCCCTCCCGGCTGCTGTCTGCCAGGTTTGAGAGATCAGAAGGTGTTAATCCAGACTGCAGACTTGTAGGACCTGAATAGTGTCACTGCAAGACTAAAGGTCTCAGTGCAGACAACAGGACCAGCCTAGACGCAACCTCTGAGAAAGTAATAATGACCACACTGGTAACGACCATCCCTTGTAGTATGGCTTACAGGCAAGTAGATGCAGTTAACAATTGCACGATCCTCGAGTACTGTAGTTTCTTCTCCGCACTCATCATCATCATCATCAGTCGTCACTGCTGCCGTTAAGTGTTGTTGGGAGGCACAGTTTGTGATCCACTGCTTGATGGGCAGCAGCAGCTATTATCATTCCGTGTCGATGTAGAAGCTCTTTAATGTTATCAATCCACAGTCTCCTAGGGTGGCCTCTTGATTTCACTGCAGCTCTTTTTATGTGTAGCGCCTGCGTGGGTAGTTGTTCTGTCTGCACTCTTACTAGATGACCAAACCATTTTATCTTCTCAATGAATTTGCTACATGGTGCTGTTCCTACTGTCTGTCTGATGACCAGATTTCCGCAGTAAGTAAAAAAGCAAAAGTAAAGGGCCCTTTTCAACGTCTTTGGGCATATAGGACTAACCTATATTTTATAGACCAATTGGAATTTGGTAGGTGATATGGTCAACACTACCCCGGCCGCCTTTACTCCCCAGTACTGCACCTGGTACTCTCTCAAGGCTGGGTCGACCTAAGAGCCAAGGTCATTTGTGAAGAACGCCGGCTCCGACAAGATCTGAACCCACGACCTTCCGATCCTTAGATGAACGTCTAGCCGCTATACAACGGCGACATCTGGTTTCCGCAGTAAACGAGCCGGGGGGGGGGGGGGGGTGGTGTTCTGGAGGTTTTCGGACAATATTATGAGAGGAGCACCGAGCAAAATATGGAAAGATAGGGACCTCGCCTAGTAATACCCTCATTGATAATAGTGGTACTTTGTAGCCAACCTCCATTGTGAGGACTGCGCAGGCACACACACACACACACACACACACACACACACACACACACACACACACACACACACAAATATATATATATTTGTTTTCATGGTTATAAAAGCGGTGTGTCACCTGTAGTTATTTGCGCAGGCGGATTAGCAGTGTTAAAGGTAGTTGCGTATCCTTTTCAGGACATTGCAGAACCAACTCCCCAAATGTGTTTGTTTGTTTGCTGTTGTTGTTTTTCTGAGCGAATTTACGTCTAGTAGTTTGCCATTGCTTTCTGGACGGTACCACTGCTTCTCAATACCACTGTCGAAACCAACGGAAGGCGATAGGCCCGCAGCTGGGATGGAACCTGGTGCCCCGGCATTACGAAGCGCGTTCGCAACGCCTAAGCCACAGACGCCGACAGATGTGATTTGCTGGAACAGTTCCCAAATATACAAAGAGGCGGTGAGCAGTGGTCACCTGGAGACCAGCTGTCACCTGGCGACCAGCGGTCACTCGGCGATCAGCGGTCACTCAGCGACCAGTGGTCACTCGGCGATCAGCGGTCACTCAGCGACCAGTGGTCACTCAGCGATCAGCAGTCACTCGGCGATCTGCGATCACTCGGTGACCAGCTCTCACTCGGCGACCAGCGCTCACTCGGCGACCAGCGGTCACTCGGCGACCAGTGGTCACTCGGCGACCAGCGGTCACTCATCGACCAGCGGTCACTCGGCGATCGGTGGTCACTCGGTGACCAGCAGAGTTTTATGTGGCTGTGTGGTAGATGCTACTGCTGGGACGCCAAGATTGGGCTTTTGTATATTCCCGGTGACGAGATATGATGTCAGGTGACCAGCTTTCTTTCACGTTATGAAATGTGTCTACTTTTGTGTTTGTTTGTTTGTGCACAAATAGAATTTAGGTAGGAAGTATGTTTTTTACGTATGAACTGGGTAACAGAGATTGAGGGAGAGAGAATGAGAGGAGAGGCAATGAGAAAATTAGAGAGTATAGAGGGCTCAGATAGAGAATAAGACAGAGAATGATAGAGGGAGAAAGTCGAGAGAGTGAATTAGAGAAAAAAAGCGTAAAAGAAAGATAAAAGCACAGACAGACAGACAGACAGACAGACAGACAGACAGACAGACAGACAGACAGACAGACAGACAGACAGACAGACAGACAGACAGACAGACAGACAGACAGACAGACAGACAGACAGACAGACAGACAGACAGACAGACAAACGGGCAGAATTTCACATGGGGGTTGGGAGGGGGGGTTGGGGGTCCGGCTTCTGTGAACATGGAAAGCACTAGATATAACCAGAATGACACCAAACGATATATCGATGCGATTTTCACGCGGTGCATGAATAATTTGTGATCAAGTGGAGGTATCCGGATATTCTAACGACAAATAGAATTTATGCAGGAAGTATGTTTTTTAAATATAAAAGGGGAAACGGAGAATGTGTGAGAGAGAATGAGAGAGGAGTGACGAAGAGCGAGAATTAGAGAGTAGAAATAAGTGGGAAAACGGTGGGAAAATGGGGGGGGGGGGGTGGTTGTAGTCATGAATATGCGTTTTTTAGTACTCTGATGTCGTAACCATGATAATTACTTACACAAAAGTATAGATTAGAATGCGGTTATAGTATCCCGTATAGTGACTTCGGAGATGGCGTAATCTTGTCTTTCTTGCTCGGGCTGTACACGTAAGTCGTGTAGTCGGGTGAGAGTCAGAGACTCTTTATGCATACAGTATGCACCAACCGTGTCCATGCCTTTCTCTAGCATTAAGGAACTGTTTGTCAGTTGATACGTTCGTTTATATCCTTTTTGTCACCGGCATATCGAGGTGTGTAGATCCAGGTGAGGGAGGTGAAGTGCGACCTCTGAATATTGTCTGCGACGAGCTAACACAGAAAGCCAGGTTAAAAAATATAATTAACACAGAGAAGGAGGCAGACCAAGGCGAAGATGAAACGACGGAACCAAGAACCAGCGCAGGGAAATGGAGACCTACATGCAAAAAGCATAGGAAACAGCATAAAAGACGTGCTTATAACTCTTGCAGCACTTTGCTAAGGTAACGGAAGAATGAGGAGGGTTGGTGAAAAAAGAGAAGAGAGTGATGATGATTCTGATGAGGAAGGGAGTTGGAAAAGGAGCATATTGATAATAATAATAATAATAATAATAATAATAATAATAATAATAATAATAATAATAATAATAATAAGAGTAAATAATAATACTCTTCAGTATCATAAAAATGGAGAGATTGCGACTTAATCAAAGTCGAGACTTATAATTAATTAACACTACCATCCAAATGATGGCGCCATTTCCTGTGTAGCGTGTTTCGTGTACCTATGGGAAGTCGGCTGCAGATTGTTCACTGTTTATTCTTTAATTATTCAGTGTTTAATTCAGCCAATAAGCTTACCCTAATTTGATTGTGACTTTCGGTGATGAATTATCCTGGCCTCCTGGACTTAAGAATCACCGGGTCATCAGGATCGTTGCGTTTTCCTTCCCTCGTCTTTGGAGATTCCCCCCCCCCCCTTTTTTTTCCCTAAAAAAGGGAGTTACTGTAAACCTTCAAAAACAAAATTTAAAGCGCGTAATTAAGGGATTACTGGAATTGGGTGTGTTAGGTCGACAGTCGCAGATATCACAGCCTCACTATAAGAAGAAGTTGGAGGAGGGGGTGGGGGGTAGCTGCAGAAGGAAGGGAACAAGACAAAGAAGACACAAACAAAAAATTGCACAGTTATTTGCCATGCATATTTCGCGGTATCTCGCAGGTGTATACTGCAGTAAGAATTGACGAAAATGGAGCAAATTAATGAATCCTTCCAACTGAAAGAGAAAATCAGCTACATTCAAAAAACTGTTTTGTTTCATCAGGGTAAACTCAAGGTGAAGAGCATGTCCTTTTGTCTGCATAAGTCTGGACTAAACCGGTTTACGCAGTCGCTTCCACAAATCTCAATATTCTACTGTCATTCGATGGATTCATTTATTTGCCACATTTTAATAAATTTTTACTGCCTAACGAGATACAGCGAAATATGCCTGGCAGTAAACTGTGCAGTCGAGTATTTGTATCTTCTTTGTTCAAATTCATTACAGGAAAACAGTGCTTTCATCTTTATGAGTTAATGCCTGCAGTTACAGATAGACCGGTATGACGTTGACCACATCACTCACCGAGTGCCGACTGGTCTAAAGGTCTAGCCCTATGTGCCCAATACGCCTAAAGATAGTGAAAAGAGACATTTACTTACTTTAAAAAAAAAAATAACAAACACGGATCTTTTTCAGTCCTGTTCAACACGCAAAGTCACCAGCAAACTTCCTTTCATTCAGAACTGTACAGGAATGCCAGAAACAAGTCTACTTATTGCTTTTGTTGAAGACATTTATATGGGGTCTGAGTACCACGAGGAGCCAGAAGCCGGCGAGAGGTCGTGAACCTCAAACTGCTGGACGATGTTATTGAGCCAGACGAAAACCTGAATGAGAACGGGGAGAAGGTCGGGTTCTGAACCTGAAACTACTTTCTGGTTTTATTGGAGTCAAAGGGAGATCTGAATGAAGAAGAGGAGAATGAGTAAGTGTTTTGAACCAGATGTTGCTTACTGATGTTATTGCAGTTGTTAACACAGTGGTCTGAGTGTCATCAAAGAAGAAGATGTTGCTACATCGAAGTAATATACATCGCGTTTCAAAATGATTTGGACGATAACAACACGTTTCATGAGCAATACAGAATTTTTTTTTTCTAGACCTAGTTTTGTCTTTCAGTGTCAGGTTTTGAAGAGGTTTTTTAGTGCGAGCCTTGGCATGTTGTACGTAGATGCTGGATATTACAGGTTTGGATATTCCTTTTATCTGCTATTGCTTGCTTGGGGAACTCTAGCTCTGCTTCCATTGTGTTTGTGACAGGGCTGTTCGTCTCCATCCTTACCCGCACAGTACTATAAGTTACACCGGGCTGGAATCGCTGTTACGGTACCTAAATTATAACATTTTTCCCAACCGTTTCTCTTGTATTTGTTGTATCGCTGTTACAATATTACCACTGACCGAATATCCCGTAAAACATATTCGAAAATATGACTAATGAGAGACTTGATGGCTAATGGTTATACGCTCGCCTGATTGTCATGGGTTCCATCCCACATGGAGTTGGATTTGTGTCCTCTCCAAATTGAACCTTGGCTCCCAGCTGGACCAAGTCTAACATGGGTTACCAGGTATCACCATCAAGTGCCTTGCCATCTGGCGTAGGCGGTCATGCATCTCCAGATCTCGGTCTTTGGTGTTCTGGGTCAATTCCACTGATGATATTCCTCCATGCAACTGTCTTAAGCCACCCACCATCATTTCTCTTGGTCTGCCTCTGCTTCTTTTACCAGTGATCTTTCCCGTCGTCACGATTCCAATGCTCCATTTCTCATCACATGACCAAAGAACTGTTTCTCTTTCTCATTGTTGTATACAATGTTCTACTTTCACCATCACTTTCCAGGCAATCATTGTTAGTTATTCTGGCAGTCCAAAGTATGCTCAAAATTCTTCTCAAGAACCACATCTTAGTTGCCTCCAAGATCTTCTTAATTTGTTTGCTCAAAATCCAGGTAATGTCATAGCAAATAACGGTGGCCAGCTTGCTGTTGAACGCATCCATTCACCGAGTGCTGAGTGCTCTGTGAGAATTTGACCATAACCATATAGAGAATGAACTATTAGCAGGAAAATGGCCCTTCAGCTACTTAATTTACTCTTTCAAGTTAAAGCAACGCATGGCGTATAATTGGCTTTTTCTCTGTTGATGGTTTGAACAACGGATTAACATCATTGCACAAGAGTAGGAACCCATTAAGTGCCCCTTTCTACTTCTTACTCAAACCTCAATCCGAAGAATCTTAGCGCAATGCACGAACTCCCTAGCACCGGTGAGGATCTCGAAATACTTTGGGTAGATTTGTAACTCCAAATTTTAGCCATTAGGCTACTTTTTCGATTTCCAAACGCCAAGGAATTTTTTTACCTGCGCAACTATACACACGGACATCCGTTCTTACTACTTGGAGACCAGAGGAAATTACTAGAAGTCCATGTGAAAAAATCCAGCTAAAATTACCGGGGCCTGAACCCGGGACCTTTAGCACTCGAGGCGGGCGCCGTGCCTCCAGATCATTCGGCCATCGTTTTATGTTTTCTTTTACTGTTGAAATTTAATCACAACATGCTCAGTAAATCTGAGAACATACTGATGGAAATCTGCCTTTCCATGTGGTTTCTTCCTCTGTAAATTATACTTCTTTAAAATTAACGGTTGTACGAATGTTCATAGCGTTAATTTGTCATATTGAACATCTACTGCCAAGCTTTTAGGGACTGAGCAATTTGAAGAAGAATATAATATGTAAAGTTGTTTCTGGGAAAATACTGCTTTTGATTTGTGCATCTTTTAATGTGTTTACAGTAATAAACACTACAAAGTCAGGTGGACAGCCTTCTCGTACATTGATTGGTAGTTACTTCCACGTGGTTATACAAATGCTAATTAGGTACCGCCTGTGCTTTTCAATATCAGTACAATAAACGGCATACTTGTGTTGTATTTTGTTTTGGAGACATTATGAATATCGTTAGGTTGTTCGCTTCTTTTAATGAAAAGAATGCGCTGGTCTTGAGTTGTTGCGTCTGAATTAATTTTACATCTATAGTCTAGACTCTAGAGTGTATAGTTATATGTAGGGTAACGTATTGTTATGCCAGTTTGAAACGTGTGTTCCATATTGCCAGATTTGCCTATTTCTTTGAACTAATATACATTTTCTAAAGTTCTCTATTGAGGAAACTAGACCTACCTTTTATAGACCAAACGGCACTTGATGGGTGATGTCGTCAGCATCACACCGGTCGCTTTTACTTTCCAGGACTGCAACTGGTACCCATTCAAAGCTGGGTCGACCTGGGAGCCAAGGTCATTTTTGACAAAGTCCGATCCGCAGGAGAGTGTCTAGCCGCTAGACTACGGCAGCTTTCAGATACATATGTGTATAGTTTGATTGATCGGCTTGTCCCGTCGGGGCTGCTGCCTACAGTTTTACCAGCCTAAGATTTTTTTTTTTAAATCTGGTTTTGGATGGCAGACCAACAGGGCAGATTCCAGGCAACCCGTTCAACCTCTGATAAAGTTACAATTAGGTCACCCGTAACGACAACGCCAGCCTGGTGTAACCGGCAGTCATGTACTGGTCAGTACCAAAATACGCATTTTAATCCGTCCGTTTCAAAAGTCGTGCCGAACTTTACAAATCTGCAAGTTACTAACCGTTCGGTTGCTGAAATGTTGGCATCAAACCTGCTAATAAGCATGTCCTTAACATATTTTTTAAGCATATAGTTTTCATTTTGTCTGTAACATTTTTTATTTTTATTTTGCGATAGATGAAAAAAACATACACCGATTCAAAGCAAAGAGTCAGCATGCTTACAGTTAACTGAGGAACTGGAAGTGTTCGAAACCTCAAACTGCGGGCGTTGCATAGGCGTTCTACTCTCAGGTGGTCATCTCCCGCATTAGCCTCCCATGAGTTGTGTATTTTTCATTGTATGTGGTATAGGCTTTTAACATAACCACCACTCATCGCTGCACAAATGAACTGATTTTGAACAATCTCTATGCATATGTCAGTTACTGTATATATATATATATATATATATATATATATATATATATATATATATATATATATATATATATATATATATATATATATATATATATATATATATATATATATATATAATTTTTTTATGGTAAGCAAATAATAATTCGATGAAAAATCAAAGAAATTTGCAGCCTTAAGAAAACAGCAGCACCTGTGCAATTGTAAATTTTAAAATCACAAGGACATAGGAAATCTAAAGCCACATGCAAAAATTGGTGAGCCGTACAGCAGCTATCGAGATATTTGTTAAAGTTTAAGAGCACAACTTTTGAAACACACTATAATAGTACCAGTTGCATGTTTTCCTCTCATTGATAAAAATTTCCCAGAACAGAACACATCCCCAGTTGAATTAGTCTTTCAGTGTGGAGTTTTTATGTCTGTTCCTTTGCACAGTCCATTTCATTCCAGAGAGTCTTCTGTAAGTGTTTAATTTACGAGTTGTGATCGGAACATTATAAAAGATCAAATTCTAGACGAGAATTTATTGGATGTTCTAACAATATCTTCACAAACGAGCTGCTGACCGCAGCATCATGTGCCACGACTGGGAAGATTGCCGCAATGAAGTACGTATGTTTCGTTAAAGGTAGCTTCGGTTATGCCTTTTGTGTCTTTATAAACATATAAATATGTAGACATGACTATGAGATCTCTTCTTCTTCTTCAAGTTTGCCGGTTATAAACTCCAGTATAAAGTCCTGGTTGTTCGTCCACTCATGGTCTTGGTCTTGATCCAGAAATTGAGTTTTGCATGCACATTCGTTTTACAGATCTGATTAATTTGTATGCAGACTGTTGATTGCTTGGCTCTGATGCAGATGCACTCCGACTTTGAACAAAACACTGATATCAGCCTACTACGACATGCTTTTTACGGGGGCAGTGAGTTTATTACTTGTTTTCAAAAATGGAGCCTCGATGTAAAGATAAGAAGAAGAAACGTAAAAATTATGAATGCGCTGGATGTTACACAATACATTAGGAAATGTAAAGATAAAATACTGGAAGAAATTAAAAGATAAATAGAAGAATTCAGAAATATGACCATAGGAAATGTAATAATTGTTATAAGATATGTAATTACTACAATGAATTTAAACAAATATTTAATGGCTATAAAGAATGTAATCAAATACATTTGGCGAAATATACTTGGTCCTGGAGCAGGACTGCAGTTCAGTAGTGGACGAGCAACCACAACCTTCCGCCAGAGTTTACAGCTGGTGAACGCGAAGAAGAAGAAGAAGAAGAAACTTGGTAAAATACCTAGTAAAATTTATTTTTCAATTTCAGTTAAAGCAATTCGTTTATTCGCGTGATCGTATTTCTTCTTCTAATACTCCTTCACGTTCAACAGCTGTAAACTCCGACGCCAAGTTCTGATTGTTCGTCCACTTCTGGATTTTGGCTTTGTTTCTGGGCCTGAGTTTTCCGTGTACATATGTTTTTACAGATCTGACTCATTTGTATAAAGAATTTCGGTACCTCGCTTCTCAGGCAAATGTACTTCAACTCAAAAGGATCTCCCAATTAGTCGACCCTTGCGACATGCTTTTGGGTAGGCAGTAGGTCTATTCTAGTTTCCCGCCACAATGGTACACCGGAACCCACACAGAGAGCTTCATGTTGTTTGATTCTAAAGGGTGTCTGTTAAATGACGGTTGACTTTTTTGAAATTCTGACTCGTAATTCCAACGTACCGCGATCGAAACCCACCGTTGGCTGCGTGGATTTTTTTTATCATGGTATGGGGCGTAGCAAGTCGACCCAGCCTAAAATGGGTACCAAGATGAATGTCCTGGGGAAGTTAAATACGACTGACGTTATGCTGACCACATTACCCACCTGGTGCCGATTGGTCTGTAAAAATATGGGTGCTCTTCCTATATGCCCGATGCGACTAAGGCGTGAAATTGGATCTTTACTTGTTACTTTACTGACTTTTTGAAATCAGTTAATTACGCCCCGGAATTTAATTTGTGCACTAGGTGATGTTTCAGCGACATTTAACATTAGTTTAGTTTAGAATATCATCTGAAAGTCAAGCTCTTTGAAAACAAAACAAAAAACGTTTGGATCCGTCAGGATTTGAACCCAGGACCTACAGATTAGCATGCGAGCGTTTAGCCGCTACACCACGGCGGTCACCAGTATGATTATTCTCCATGTCATTATTATTTTACTGTGTTGGCTCTGAAAATGGCTACCTGGGCGTTAGGTTGTAGTTCAAAACTAGGCTGCTATATCTGCACCGTTCAGCTCAACACTTCCGGTTCAACAACGCTGTAATTTGTCGTCATGTATGACAAGCTTTTTAGCAGGCAGGGGTCTTTCCGAATCCATTATGTGTGGGTAGAACCTACACTACACTACGACTTTGATTTTTTTTTTTTAGGGAAGATTTTTTTCGCTTTCGAGTTCTGCTCTTAATTTCTGCTCTGTGCAGAACATGTCGTGTATGAAGTCTTGTATGGACACTCTGGATTCTGCCATCAACACATTTGTGATAGACCAAGACCGGCTCCAGCTGACGGGTAGTGCTGCTGACGTCACCGGATCGGGCTAACGATGCTTTAACGCAGCGGCTCTCAAACTTGGTGCCAGGGCACTCTGGGGTGCAGTTAGCGATTGCCAGGGAAGCCGCGGAAATAATCAAGAAAAGTCGGCTAAAAATTGTGAAATTACCAAAGAAGGCATGTAGATACTTAAAAAGTTAAAATGTAAGTTGTCTTTCCTTGCCACTGTCGAAAATAGTTTATTTCTTGTTTGAGAACCGCTGCGTTAACGCGTCGTTAGCCCGACATGGTGACGTCAGCAGCACGTCCCTTCAGCTAGAGCCGGTCGTGGCAGGCTTTCTATTGGACAGCTCTGTTTCCTCAACCAAATTGTTTTCGCATTTCAAATTCTTGACACACAAAAACTCCTTGGGTAAACATTTGAAAACATTTTAGCGTACCATTAGGTGTATCTCTTCTTTAAAAAAGAAAATCATTAATCAGGTTAGCAAACATTTATTGCTATGGTGAATTTTCATGGCAGTAATATATCTACAGTGGTTTTTGTCTTGCTCAGTATTTCTCATTTATGCATATGACAGAATAATGAATAAATGAATGAATGAATGAATTAATGAATTAATGAATGAATGAATGAATGAACGAGTGAACGAGTGAATGAATGAGTGAATAAATGAATGAACTAACTCAAATGCTGACATCACAGCACTCATAAAAAATCCGAAATGTGTATTAAACTCGATTTAATTTCGTGATTACGCCCGGGGTGGAGAAAGAATATTTTGTTCTTCCGTCCTCTGATTCATCTTTGTCTACACTGCTGACGTATTTTTAGTCATTGTTCCTAACAGTTTAGTCATTTTTTTCTTACATTTTAGTCATTGTTCCTAAATGTTTAGTCATTGTTCCTAACAGTTTAGTCATTTTTTTCCTTACTGTTTAGTCATTGTTCATAAATGTTTAGTCATTGTTCCCTTATTGTTTAGTCATTGTTCCCTTACTGTTTAGTCATTGTTCCCTTACTGTTTAGTCATTGTTCCTAAATGTTTAGTCATTGTTCCCTAACTGTTTAGTCACTGTTCCCTAATTGTTTAATCATTGTTCCTAAATGTGTAGTCATTGTTCCTAAATGTTTAGTCATTGTTCCTGAATGTTTAGTCATTGTTCACAAATATTTAGTCATTGTTCCTAAATGTTTAGTCATTGTTCCTGAATGTTTAGTCATTGTTCGCAAATGTTTAGTCATTGTTCCCTTACTGTTTAGTCATTGTTCTCTTGCTGTTTAGTCATTGTTCCCTTACTGTTTAGTCATTGTTCGTAAATGTTTAGTCATTGTTCCCTTACTGTTTAGTCATTGTTCCTTTACTGTTTAGTCATTGTTCCTAAATGTTTATTCATTGTTCCTAAATGTTTAGTCATTGTTCCTAAATGTTTAGTTATTGTTCCCTAATTGTTTAGTCATTGTTCCCTAATTGTTTAATCATTGTTCCTAAATGTGTAGTCATTGTTCCTAAATGTTTAGTCATTCTTCCTGAATGTTGTTCACACATATTTAGTCCTTGTTCCCTTACTGTTTAGTCATTGTTCCCTTGCTGTTTAGTCATTGTTCCCTTGCTGTTTAGTCATTGTTCGTAAATGTTTAGTCATTGTTCCTAAATGTTTAGTCATTGTTCCCTAAATGTTTAGTCATTGTTCCTGAATGTTCAGTCATTGTTCGCAAATGTTTAGTCATTGTTCCCTTACTGTTTAGTCATTGTTCCCTTGCTGTTTAGTCATTGTTCCCTTACTGTTTAGTCGTTCGTAAATGTTTAGTCATTGTTCCCTTACTGTTTAGTCATTGTTCCTTTACTGTTTAGTAATTGTTCCTAAATGTTTAGTCATTGTTCCTAAATGTTTAGTCATTGTTCCTAAATGTTTAGTTATTGTTCCTAAATGTTTAGTCATTGTTCCCTAATTGTTTAGTCATTGTTCCTAAATGTTTTGTCATTGTTTCCTAAATGTTTAGTCAGTGTCCTGAATGTTTAGTCATTGTTCTCTTTCTGTTTAGTCATTGTTCCCTTACTGTTTAGTCATTGTTCCTAAATGTTTAGTCATTGTTCCTAAATGTTTATTCATTATTCCTAAATGTTTAGTCCTTGGTTTCCTTGCTGTTTAGTCATTGTTCCTAAATGTTTAGTCATTGTTCCCTAATTGTTTAGTCAGTGTTCTCTCACTGTTTAGTTATTGTTTAGTCATTGTTCCCTAATTGTTTAGTCAGTGTTCCCTTACTGTTTAGTCGTTGTTCCTAAATGTTTAGTCATTGTTCCCTGATTGTTTAGTCAGTGTTCTCTTATTGTTTAGTCATTGTTCCTAAATGTTTAGTCATTGTTCCCTAAATGTTTAATCAAATTTTCTAAATGTTTATTTATTGTTCCTACACGCATAATTAGTATCCCTAAATGTTTTATCACTCTTACCTAACTGTTTAGTCATTGTTCATAAATGTTTAGACACTGTTCCCTAACTGTTTACCTATTGTTCCTAAATGTTAGTCATTGTCCCCTAATTGTTTAATCATTGTCCCCTAACTATTTAGTCATTTCCAGAATGTTTAATCATTGTTCGTGCATATTTAGTCATTGTTTCTAACTGTTTACTCATTGTAACCTAGCACTGCACGCGAGACTCTTGTCGCCTCCTGTGCCGTTTCATTGCCCTACAAATCTGACAGTGCAGGCGATCACTCCAGTAGCGCCGCCTCAGCTGGGAAACACGGTTTGAAATTATTTCTGTCCGTATTCCATAGTTGTGGATTTCAAGCTGTACGATAGACATGGCCAATAAGACACCTGTTTTTTTTTTGGGGGGGGGGTGGGGGGGGGGGAGGGGGTGCCTAGTTGACCATGTTCTTAGTGCACTTGTATCCATAGCGAGGCGCAGACGCCGTCTGGAGGTGACATATTCAATTCCCGGCACGGTAACTATAGCCTTTGATTTATATGTTGTCTAGTGTGTTCTTCTATCTTTCTACTTCTTTCTACGAGTGCCGATCAATACACTTTCTGTTACTTGATTATCTCACTGCTAGAGAAATTACCGTCCATGTTTCACACGTATATAATGAGGACGTTAGCAATCTCTATCTGCATAATAAATGGACATTTAGCTCATACCAGACACGCGATACAAAACAGTGACAATCATTTGGGTTTTTTTTACCTCTTCCCTCGTTTCCTTCCGCCCAAATCTAATAGACCCATTTACACTGTACTACACACACGGCGTTTTAATTAAAACCTCCTTCTCTTCCCTGTCCCCCCACCCTCCTCCTGATTTGCAAAGCTGTTGTCTGTCACCGAGAATTGCCACCCGAGGAATCAGACAGCAACGACAGTTTACAGACTTTCGTCCGCCATCTTTCCTCTCTGCCAGAAATGATCACAAGAGACCTTCTTCAATATCGATTTATCACCCAGAGCGCATGCGTGATGAGAAAGGTTTTCTTTCATTAAAAGAAAAAAGGTTTATCTTCTATCTTTATCCGTGCTCTCGTTTTTGAACCCCTTCTCTCACGGCTTTTCCCGTGAAGATGACTATCCATATTTATAATTCAGTTGTGTAGTTTTCTGTAAGATATTACAAAAGGAAATCGTGTGTACCATTTTTATAAGTCTGTAGTAGATACAGAGACACTTGTACCTGGCGGCTGACAAGTTTGACATTGCACCGACTCATTTGTCTGTCTGTCTGTCGGTCTGTCTATGATAGGAACCCAATACTTTCATTGTATGAGGCAAACGGCTTGACCACTTCACCAGTGAGATCCCCACTTGCATTCTTTCTCTAACAAATAAGTTGAAGCCACCAAAACTGTCGCGACTGCCAGCTCATTTCTTAGTTTAACAAAAATGTTAGTTTACTATCCTTTACAGGACGTTACAGAACCAACCCCAGCATTGTTTTGACTGTTGTGGGTTGTTTTTTTTTTTGGGGGGGGGGGGGGGGGGGGGGGGGGGGGGGGGGGGGGGGGGGGGGGGGGTAGATTTTACGTCCAGCAGTTTGCCTATGAACGGTCAGATATCGATACCACTGTCGAAACCAACGCAAGACAAATCGTCCGCAGCTGGGATCGAACCCGGATTTACAAAGCGCGTTCGCAACGCCACAGACGCCGATTATTTAGAAATTTAAAAAAAAAGGTGTTTAAATATATATGGTGAATGTATAATAAATATTTTTGAATGTGAAAATATTGCCGTTCCTGTGTTTTGTAATCACCGTCTGGGGAGTAAATGTAGCATATACTGCTATAGTGTGTCTTATTTTGGGTAGTTTTCCATATTATGGCTCTCCTGACAATAAGGGGGAGTCGTCGTGGCCGAACGGCTAGACGCTTGTAGCGGATCGGAAGGTCGTGGTTTCGTTCCCTGATGGAGCCAGACTTTTTTCAAAAATTACCTTGGCTCCCAGGTCGACCCAGCCTTCAGTGGGTACCGGGTGCAGTCCCGGGAAAAAAAAAGGCGGCCGGCGTGATGCTGACCACATCACCCATCTTGTGCCGATTGGTCTATAGAAATATAGGTCTAGCCCTATATGCCCTATACGCCTGATAGCGTGGCAAAGGGTCCTCTTGACAATAGGTATTGGAAATCTCCCCCACTGTTCGTTTGACAATTAGTCATACATTTCTTAAGGTTTTCAAAAACCTTGTTCAGTTCGGGCAGTCTAATGTTATTAATGTTATAGACGACTGAAACTTGCAGCTCACTTATTGCGTGTGGGTTGTGTTCGCACATATTTCCTTGAAGAGTAGTTGATAAAACAACAATATGTAGTAGTGATATTTTAAACCAACGGTTACATGGCGCTTGAAACGTGACATGGTACACATATTTTTTTTACGGTGCTCAATTAATTGGTTCCAAAAATTCTACAGTCATTAAATATGTACCATATACTTCTTTCTCATTTGGCCATATTTCTTGTATCCGTATTTTTTAACCGTACAGTTTGTGGCCAGTATCAAATTTCTAATATTCTCGAAGCTTCGCTTAAACCGTTCAGCCGTTGTCAACAAGGGAATAATTGTTATTCCCCTTTTCCGTCTGGTGACCTGGTCACACACTGTGCTAACCTTTTCTGGTTCTTCCCATTTAGCAAAATCGACAAAGTGGTTCGTGGCAGAGCTTTTTTAAGCGCTCACACTAGAGGGATATATATATTCATGAGATATTTCTTTTCAAATTGTATACATTAGATGCAAATATTCTTTATGGTTGTTTTCTCGGATAATGTTCCTTCTCTTTGACATCTGCTTGTTTGTCTGTCTGATTTATCTAATCTTTTCTGTTCTGTTCTTATCTATCTATCTATCTATCTATCTATCTATCTATCTATCTATCTATCTATCTATCTATCTATCTATCTATCTATCTATCTATCTATCTATCTATCTATCTATCTATCTATCTATCTATCTATCTATCTATCTATCTATCTATCTATCTATCTATCTATCTATCTATCTATCTATCTATCTATCTATCTATCTATCTATCTATCTATCTATCTATCTGTCTGTCTGTCTGTCTGTCTGTCTGTCTGTCTGTCTGTCTGTCTGTCTGTCTGTCTGTCTGTCTGTCTGTCTGTCTGTCTGTCTGTCTGTCTGTCTGTCTGTCTGTCTGTCTGTCTGTCTGTCTGTCTGTCTGTCTGTCTGTCTGTCTGTCTGTCTGTCTGTCTGTCTGTCTGTCTGTCTGTCTGTCTGTCTGTCTGTCTGTCTGTCTGTCTGTCTGTCCGTCCGTCCGTCCGTCCGTCCGTCCGTCCGTCCGTCCGTCCGTCCGTCCGTCCGTCCGTCCGTCCGTCCGTCCGTCCGCCCGTCGGTCCGTCAACCGTCCGCCCGCCCGCCCGTCCGTCCGTCCGTTTGTCTGTCTGTCTAGCTGTCTGTCTGTATGTTTGACTGTCCGTCGTGCTATCTGTCTGTCTGTCTGTTGGCCGTCCGTCTAATAGGTCCGTCGATCTGTCTGCCCCTTTTTTTCAATGGAAGGATCGAGAAACAGAGAACGACTGCTATTATAAAACGTTCCTAGACATATAGGGTTTCTTGCTTTAGTTGACTGAGAGGAAGGTCGAATAAATTTATGCTTTCTCTATGCTGGACCCACATTTACCGATGAATTTCTAGAGGTTTCACCCGTTAACTGATTTTTAAAAAAAACCTGATAACAGAACTCGGTGCTTTCTCAATATTCTCCCCAAACAGGGGAAATCCACAGGTCACGGAACAGTCCAATATTTCAGGGGGTGGTAGATATGCTGCATGCGGTCGTGGGACCTAGGTTGCATGCAGTCGTGGTATCTAGGCTGAACTCTCTTGTGAGACGTAGGTGGCTTGGGGTTAGGGCCAGTTCAAGATGTTTTGGTGTCATTAAAAACATCAGAAAACCGGGAAACCCTGTCTCAACACCCTCTAAAATGTTGGACTGTCCTGTGACGTCATATGGGGGTGGGATATTACGAAAGAACCCAGAACTCTGTTCCTCCTTGATGCATATCAAAAGTTGGAGAAGGGGGGGGGGGCATCTTTAAACTGATATTACACTGTCACTGTGTTCGTCTCCACCATGAAGTCACGTGCTGAACACTCTTGACATCCTTGACAACAATATTGACATGTTACTGGAAAGTGACGTGGTTATGATAGTTTACATCACACTTTTCAGCTTCTCTTGTAAAGCCTCCTAGCGCAATAACATGCAGACCAATGTTGTTGCATGTGCAGATTAAATTGATTATGTAGACTTATGTTGATTATCCAAAGTTTGTATAGTTATGCGTGGGCGCATGCGTGTCCTGGTCTCGGGTTCAATCTGGGGGATGGCAGAAAAGCCCCATACTCCCCAGATTACCGGGGTGCTTGGCACTGAGGATGAAAGGCTTTGATGCTCACGGCATTGAGCTGAATTAGCCCGGCTCAAGTGCTTGTGGATTTAAAAAAAATAAATAAATAAATAAATAAATATGCTCCCCTGCTATACAGGGGCAGCCGCTAGCCTCGGATTCGATGCCCTGAACTGTGCTAAACCATTTTTGATCCGGGCTGCCAGGTCGACGCAACAGTAAATGGGTACCAGGTGGGTTCCTGGGAAGTAAGGGCGGTGGCTGTGCCGATTGGTCTATACAATAAAGTTCTAGCCCTATGTGCCAAGTACACCTGGATGCATGGAAAAGAGTGCTTTACTTGACTTTACTAATATGCCGCCACTGGTTGTCTGTTTCAGGCCACGAATTTACACAAGTTCAAGCTGCACACTTACAGCAGTCCCACATTCTGCGACCACTGTGGGTCACTGCTGTACGGTCTACTACACCAGGGACTCAAATGCGATTGTAAGTATCTTTGAGAAAGTGGCGTTGATGTGTTCTAGCATTGCCGCCCTTGTTTGGGATTCCCATTGTCGACTTTAGCGGGGTTTCCTGTTACTGCTTTTAGTAGGGATTCCTATTGTTGATGTTAGGTGGGTTTTAAACATGTTCATTTTTTTTTTGGGGGGGGGGGGGGGGGGGTTTCCACTGGCTTTTCTGGTTGAGTTCCCCCCATTGTTTTGTCTTTATGTGTCGTCCTTGGTTGTGTTTCCTACTAGCATCCTTAGTTGAGCCCTTTTCCACACTTAATTGGCATTCCTGTTAGCTTTCCTTATTTGGATTTCCCCATTGTTGTTCTTGTTTTTTGTCTCTAGTTAGGTTTCCAACTAGCTTTCTTGCTTTGGGCCCATTTCCATCTCTAAATGGGATCCCTTTTTTTTTTCTTCTCTCACTTGGGATTCCGAGCTGGGATTCCCTACTGTCGCCCGTGAGACTTTCCATTCTCGACATTAGTTTGGATTCCATTTCCCATGTGGATCCTGGGGTCTTATTATGGTGAGAACGAGAACAGAGTGGTGCTTTTAAAAAGCATGTCGTAAAAGTCGACTAACTGGATGTGTTTCTTTAAAATTTAAGTGAATCTGCCAGAAAGACGGTGAACCAAAGGTCTGCATACAAATAAGCCAGATCTGTAAAACGGATCTGGGCGCAAAATTCAAGTTCTAGAACAAGACTGAAGTCAAAATGTGGACGAACAATAAGAACAAGAACTTCCCCACGGAGTCCTCAACATGTGAACTCGAAGAAGAAGAAGAAGAAGAAGAAGAAGAAGAAGAAGAAGAAGAAGAAGAAGAAGAAGAAGAAGAAGAAGAAGAAGAAGAAGAAGAAGAAGAAGAAGAAAAAGAAAAAGAAAAAGAAAAAGAAAAAGAGGAAGAGGAAGAGGAAGAGGAAGAGGAAGAAGAAGAAGAAGAAGAAGAAGAAGAAGAAGAAGAAGAAGAAGAAGAAGAAAAAGAAAAAGAAAAAGAAAAAGAAAAAGAAGAAGAAGAAGAAAAGGAAGAAGAGGAAGAAGAGAAAGAAGAAGAGGAAGAAGAAAAAGAAGATAGAGAAATAGAAGAAGAAGAAAAAGAAGAAGGAGACAAAGAAGAAAAAGAAGCAATAGCAGCAACAGATCTTTATCTTTGGAATTACCATTGTCGACTTTAGGCGGGCCGATCATTATCTTTGGAATTACCATTGTCGACTTTAGTCGGGCCAATCTTCATCTAAGGAATTACCATTGTCGACTTTAGTCGGACCAATCTTTTTCGTTGGAATTACCAGTGTCGACCTTAGCTGGCCCAGTCTTTATCGTTGGAATTACCATTGTCGACTTCAGTTGAGCTTCCTACCGATGCCACCTGAACTTTATATTCTGGTTATTATTCCGGCTTCATATTTGTGTGCCTGAGACATTATATCAGTAATTGTTCCCCTCCCCACCGCACTTTTTCTTCCCCCCCCTCTCTCTCTCTTTCTCTCTCTCTCTCTCTCTCTCTCTCTCTCTCTCTCTCTCTCTCTCTCTCTCTCTCACACACACACAAGCGCGCGCACACACACATAGTTAAATATATAAATATATATACATAATATGTATGTTGCTACTCCCTAACAAAAAGCGCTCTTCATACTTGTTATGTCCTTTATCCCTATTGATAGGCAAAGAAAATCAGACGATTTAGCAAAGATAGCATAAAAGGTTGGACTACAAATACAAATATATTGAGGAAACCAGCTGCAGATCAAGCAGATGTAACACAGGGGACAATAGTAATTAAAATAAGATACCAACTTATTTATTTAGATAGTAATTTTGATAGTGAAGGAATTACAAAGAAAGAAATGATGACACAGCATGGCAGGACAACAGCGGCTTTTAAAAGCCTGAACTAAATAATCAACTCCTAATTGCATAGTTTTAAAACCAAGTTGCTGTACTTTCATTTGTAATGATTTTTTTAGTTTTAACATTCTTTAGTGAAGTTAGAGAACAACTAAAGACATAAATTAAAGTTAAATTCATTTAAAAACAAATGTCTGAGGAAAATAGTGAAGATAACATGGAATACATTTAAAAGGAGTGAAGAAAAAAGAGAAATGTCTCTGCAACCAGTGGTATCGGTAGTTGTATGACGTTCTAGCCATGATGGTCAGATTTTTCTGACCGAAAAGCAGCAGAAGATGTCACATAAGCTAGTTTTTATGTTTTTAATATTTGTTTAAACATCAGATTTGACATATGAATGCATCTGCTTTTGTTTTTGTTTTCTTAGTCAGGCCCATTGTCATCTTTGGCATTACCACCGACTTTAGTCTGGCCCGTTGTCATCTTTGGCATTACCACCGACTTTAGACTGGCCCATTGTCATCTTTGGCATTACCACCGACTTTAGACGGGCCCATTGTCATCTTTGGCATTACCACCGACTTTAGACGGGCCCATTGTCATCTTTGGCATTACCACCGACTTTAGACTGGCCCATTGTCATCTTTGGCATTACCACCGACTTTAGACGGGCCCATTGTCATTATTGGCATTACCACCGACTTTAGTCTGGCCCGTTGTCATCTTTGGCATTACCACCGACTTTAGACGGGCCCATTGTCATCTTTGGCATTACCACCGACTTTAGACGGGCCCATTGTCATCATTGGCATTACCACCGACTTTAGACTGGCCCATTGTCATCTTTGGCATTACCACCGACTTTAGACGGGCCCATTGTCATCATTGGCATTACCACCGACTTTAGTCTGGCCCGTTGTCATCTTTGGCATTACCACCGACTTTAGACGGGCCCATTGTCATCTTTGGCATTACCACCGACTTTAGACGGGCCCATTGTCATCATTGGCATTACCACCGACTTTAGACTGGCCCATTGTCATCTTTGGCATTACCACCGACTTTAGACGGGCCCATTGTCATCATTGGCATTACCACCGACTTTAGTCTGGCCCGTTGTCATCTTTGGCATTACCACCGACTTTAGACTGGCCCATTGTCATCTTTGGCATTACCACCGACTTTAGACTGGCCCATTGTCACCATTGGCATTACCACCGACTTTAGACTGGCCCATTGTCATCTTTGGCATTACCACCGACTTTACTCTGGCCCATTGTCATCTTTGGCATTACCACCGACTTTAGTCGGGCCCATTTTCATCTTTGGCATTACCACTGACTTTATCTTTGTCCACCGACTTAACTCTGGCCCGTTATTTTCATCTTTGGAATTACCATGGTTGACTTAAATCGGGCCAATTTTAATCTTTGGAATTACCATGGTTGACTTAAGTCGGGCCCATTTTCATCTTTGGAATTACCATGGTTGACCTAAGTCGGGCCCATTTTCATCTTTGGAATTACCATGGTTGACTTAAGTCGGGCCCATTTTCATCTTTGGAATTACCATGGTTGACTTAAGTCGGGCTCATTTTCATCTTTGGAATTACCATGGTTGACTTAAGTCGGGCCCATTTTCATCTTTGGAATTACCATGGTTGACTTAAGTCGGGCTCATTTTCATCTTTGGAATTACCATGGTTGACTTAAGTCGGGCCCATTTTCATCTTTTGAATTACCATGGTTGACTTAAGTCGGACCCATTTTCATCTTTAGAATTACCATGGTTGACTTAAGTCGGGCCCATTTTCATCTTTGGCATTACCATTGTCGACTTTATGGATGTATGGTTAGATGATGATGATTGGGAGCCGCGTTAGCCTAGTCGATAGGAGGCTCGCTTTCAAATCCAGCTGCGACTCGCTGCAGCCACGGTCGGTGTTCGAAACCGGGCGGTTCCCGGGGTTCACCCAGCTTCTAGGAAATGGGTACCAGAGTGACACTATAAGCTAAATGGAGGAACGTCGCTGTAGCTACAGAGTTACTTGCGAACGGTGACACAGGCGGACAGTTTCTTATCAGCTGTCCATACTGGTGGCAGAGCACTTATGGTTTATAACCGTGTGCAATGACGCTGGTTCACATCTCCCGACTTAACCTTTTTTACAATTATGGTTAGATGATAAATCGGCTGCGAAACAGTTTTACCCGTTTTGGTGGGCCGCGGGTGCTAAATGGGTTGAGAAACACTGCTTGACTTGAAACCTGATAGGGTCTTGACCAAACCATTCTACCCGGCATATCTCTCGCTATCTGCTGGAGCTCATTCGCTTCTCCATATACCCCATTACCGTCTCTGCCTTTCTTCAACCCGTGTTTTAAGATAACCCTTGATCCTGTGGCTTCCAGTACAAGGATACCATAGTTATGCTAACATCTGTTGCTTTATGGGGGGATGGGGGGGGGGGGGGTGTCCGTGAACGTGTGCCCTATCCCAGGCCAGAACTCTCTCTTATTGCTTAGGTAAGCTATGTAATTTATACCCCACCAGGACATCACACAAGCGATAAACACCCGATGACACAAAGTGCCACCATGCGGATGAGGATCACCCGTGAGAGGTCCTGGAAACCACGTTCTGTCGTTAGGCCATATTTGAGGCTCGGCCCCCGGCAAAAGGCCAGGTTGGGTCTTTAACTGAAAATATCATCCCACATGGGAACGACTGTGAATCCACTCACCGCTTGATTCATCAGAATTTTCTGTCAGTGTTCGCCGTCTATTGTTTTTGTGTGAATGGCAGGTTGAGTCTTTTGTTTGTACTCGGAGTTCTTGCTCCTCGGTGTGTTATGAGATGTACAGAGCCGTGGCCAGTTTCTCTTGGTGTTGTCTGTTTTGTTATGTAAAAGAAATGAGGTAAATTGCGGTTTAAAAAAAAATCTGTCAGGATGTAGACAATTGGAGAACTAAAAGTGTGTGCGAGAGTGTGTGTAATGCTTGCATACTCGTCGGCAAGAAAGCATAAATGTGTGAATGAATGAATGTATGTATGAATAGCTGTAAGACTTTATTTATGGTGCGTATTGATGGATTTATAGAGACAAGAAGGCCGGCAGTTAGGTGCTGCGTACACGGTTTCG